CTTTACCACATTTGCTTATGTACCCGCTTTGTCTTCAGTGATCATGTCAGGAAGGTGATGACATTATGGAACGCCAGGTTAATAGAACAAAGTGTTCTTGCGTTGAGGAAATACTTGAGTCAAGGCCCAATGTCCATCTGCTACCTTAATACTAAACCTATAAATAGATGCACATAGATCTATTCCCCCATCATCATATATAAATATATTTACATATGTATATGCCTGTATTTAGGCCTCTATAAATGCCCTTTGCCTCCTAGTTCTTTCCTCTATTGAATGACCTAAATTCGAACCATTACACTACTATTTTTCAGGATTTTTCAGTCTTATCTTGGTACAAATTTGATGTCCCTTCCAGTTGTTGAAATGTAATAGGCAATGGAAAATAATACTTGAAATATGTAGCTTACACTTAAAGCTGAAAAACAGCTTATTTTGGAGAGGAAAAAAAGGTATCTGACTCAATTATGTAATTTTAAGTCATTAATTTAAAATATTCTCACCATTTAAAATGCCATTTGACAGTTAGACAACAAGTACTAATAGCTATAAAATGTTTATGCCCCTTTAATAACATCTGGGAATCCTTGCTAAGGAAATTCTCCAAAATTTCAAGAGAGAAAAACAAATATGTAAACTGAGAGTTTGATTTTAGTGATATTTCTAATTTTGAAGTGAAAAGCAACCTTGGTGACAAAAACATTGAATGAAAGTTATATTACAGCTACTTGGTCAACTGTATGGTGAGCCTTAAAAATTATGGTAAGAAAAGCCATGGATCAGTGAGAAAAAAACTTCATTTAATAGTAAATTTAAGATTACAAAATTATTTATGGACTGATTATAACAAGCTTAGCAATATGGATTTAGAAGAAATTACTATCAAATTCTAATAGTAGTTATAGCAGGATAGTGAGAGGTGTAACTCTACTATATTGAATCTTTTAAATGTTCTATGATTGTCTTTTTGTTGGTGTAAATATATTTAATGAAGCATTTGCCAACGCAGCATTTCTCAGCTGTGTAATTTAGTGATAGCAATCACATTTTTTTAAACCATTTTATTAGGGACACATACAACTCTTATCACAATCCATACATACATCATTGTGTAAAGCACATTTGTACATTCATGATAGCAATTACATTAATAGTGTTACATATCCATCAATATGATTGTCCTTCAAAGTACTCGCCATTACATTTACTGTATATACTCATTTACCATGTATACTCATGTATAAGCCGAGTTTTTCAGCAAAATTTTAATGCAGTTTTTGTGGTAAAATTAGGTTCCTCGGCTGATATCTGTGTTGGCTTATACTCGAGTATATACAGTAATACATTTGCCAAATCTGTGATTATATTCTTGAAAACATTTTTCAAACTCATCTGTTTGGATGGCTGCCAGCACCTACCTCATCTTTTTTTTCACCTTTTCTATGTCGTTTCATGTCCCTCTTCATTTGCAGAAACAAAAAGAAGTCACACAGAGTGAGGTTAGGTTAGTCAGGTGTATGAGGCAAGAGAGGCATGCTGTTTTTGCCAAAAACTGGTGCACTAGGATGGCTGCGTGAACAGGTGCATTGTTGTGATGGCAAAACCAGTTCCTGTCTGCCATAAATCAGACCTTTTTTAGTCGCACACTGTTATGTAGTCTTTTCTACATAGAAAGCTTGATTAGCAGTCTGACCTGGTGGAACAAACTCCAAATGCACTACAGGTCAACATGTTTATCCGCTAGGGATGTTGATGGACATCAGAACAAGGTTTGTCATCAATCAACATTTCACCTTTTTTTGAAATGAGAAAACCACTCATCCGCTTGAATTTTTCCCATAGAGCTGTCCTTGTAAGCTGTATTCAACATCACAACAGGTTCTGTGGCAGTTTTTTCTAAGCAGGAAACAAAATTTCAGTGCCACACGCTGTTTTTTTAAATTGTCCATCAAAAAACAATGAGGTTCAAGGAAAACTGCTTCTACACAAAAAATTCACTGTGACCAGAGAGAAC